CATTAATAAACTGGTCCTTGGTAGCATGAAAAGGGTAATGGAATCATTCAAAGAATTTAACTTGAACTCAGGAAGTGGATTACACTGAGATTATGTGAATCACCATACAGCAGTTTTCCAAAAATCAGCTCCTGGGGGGTCTGGGGGGAGGGAATAATGTTGGAAGCAAGTTATATATTTTATCTTTTATACTTCTTCTCTATACATGGTAAAGCTCTAATTGGGCAATTAGTATTTCTCAAATGTATTTGACCATGAAATCTCGGTCATGAAGGAGCTTTTCAGAGACTCATCGCTCAGTAGAATGAACATCAGGAAGGTGTGGGTTAGATCTGCCAGATATAGAGCACAGAGGCAGAAGAACAGTTAGGAGACGATGAAAAAGTCACCCTCGAAGAGTAAGTTCACTCCCTCTAAGAAATATTTGACCAAAAGTTTCTGAGGACCCTCTACCTTAATCACAAGATTTGTGGAGCGAGGGAAAGAGAAACATCACCAGCTGAGCATGTGCTGAGCCCTGGTTCATCATATTAAACGGTCCTAGAAGGGAGGCACCATCATCTGTATGAAGATGCTGAAACTGAGAATGCGAAGGTCCAGAGAAGTCAATTAATTTTCCAATATCACAGTGCAAGGAGATGAACCACATCCTAACTCAAAAAACCTGAGTTCTTTCACATTCTAATCATGCATGAAATAATATCACCCCCAATTCTGACTGTGATCATGCAAAAGATCAGCTCTATAGTGAAACATTTTGTACCACCGCTCTGACATGAGATTTCCAAATTGCTCCTAAGAAGACTCAAAAGGCAACTTTATTTTTTTGGTAGAATTAATTAATTTTAACATACGCTATAGAAGAGGAGGTCTCAACTACATTTCTACACAAGTCTGAACTTGTGCAACAGCTAACACAGGCAATATTTTCTCAAATATATGAGACCCTGAAAAGCTTAGATGCTTTTGAGAAATGAAGTTAGTAACACAGAACTACCCCAAAATGTAAAATGAGCCATATAATGCCGAGGATCATGGGGTGTTCGCAAATTCTCAGGGTAGAGTTTGCTAAACAAAGGGTACACTTAAACAAAATTAAAGGATTTTATCGTGACTACATTTTAAGTCACAAAAAATAGTGAATTTGTGGAAAATGTTTCACCAGTCACCCCTCTCCTACTGGAGATTTGAACAGAAAAGGCAACCAAGTGCTTGGAGTTTGTGGAGAAAGCATACAAACATAAGGCACTAGGAATTGATCCACTCAAGTCATCGAAAAATCTTTGCTCTTGATCTGTAAGTTGTGACACACTTTGAATGTCTGGTGCTTGGTCCAACCCTAAGCCCTTTCTGTAGTGCAGAGTTCAACAAATGTTAGCTGCTGCAGTATATGAATGAAATGAAACACTCCATGCTCCCCCACTCACCAGCCTGGGGACTCTGGTCTAAAATGCCAACCTCCAATCACATAGTTTCATATGGTAAAGTTTCCAGTTGCTGGTGGGGAAACTGAACAAGTAAGTGACATTCCTACAAATCCATAGTCAAAAAAACAGAACAGAAAGCGGAATTTAAAGGTTGTCTATTTATTGAATTATGGCATTTCTTTAACCTTCTTGAAAACATCCCCCCCATGAAATAAATTTCTTATACATAGTGACAGGATGAATCATTTTTCTATATACCGTAAGTATGGAATCCCTCTTATTTTAACAAAGATTACTGAAGAAGTCCTGAGCCAAATGATTTCTAAGTTTCAGAAAAGGCAATTAATTTCCCAATATCGCAGTGCAGGGAGACAAACCACATATTCTGACTCAAAAACCTAAGTTCTTTCATATTTTCATCATGCATGAAATAATATTACACCCAATTCTCTGACTACAGTCAGGCAAAAGATCATCTATACAATGAAACATTTTGTACCATTTTTTATCACCTATAAGCAGATAAAGAAAATTGAATAGGCACAAAAGGCTGCCAAGGGAAACCACACATAAAGAAACAAACACCAAAACTCAGCTCCCCACCCATTATCTCCCACTGGTCCTGTGACAACAGATCTGACTATGTTACTTTGTGGAATAAAACAGTTAGAGATGATATTCAGTGAGTGCCCACAAGCCTAGCCAGGTTAGGTTACTACCTGTTTTACAAACTGCTTCTCTTTTGTTTGGTTGGTATTGCTGCCAATCCAATTATTTTCTACATCTCCAGGTGAACAGGGGTTACATTAAAACTTAGAGGGGCTATGCATGAAAAATGACCCAGACTTGGGACAGTGGCATGCTGGAACACATGGTCCAGTCGAAGCAAACATTTGTCAATTAACACCAGCAGGTTGAAGTCCTGCAGGAAAATAATCCCACTATTGCTGGATTATCCAATTTCTTTTTTTCTTAAGAAGCTAGAAATCTATAAATTATACTTAAATATAAATCCATAATTATAGATTTTAATTTATTTAATTGAAATTTTTAATTAAATCTTCATTTAATTTAATTAAAAATAAATCCATAATTTATGCTTTTACATAAAAACACCTAAGTCTAAAAATGTTTATTCTATTCAGTCTTTTAAATGCTGTGTTCACCAACAACATGCTTCGCTAAGCCAGGTCAGGTATGAGAGTTGCTAGTTTTCTGTTCAGAGTTGACAAGTCTGTGCCTGCTGGAATCTTTTCAAACTACAGTCAACTGTATAAATCGGATACACTGTCCCCTCCCTGAGGGCAGTAAAGCTTTATGGCCTTGGGGTAATAACAACTAGGTGTACTTCATAAATGGGTTAAAAAAATTTAAGCTTTCTAATAGCATACAAAAATCAGACAACTCTTCTAGGGATATTTAAAGTTAAAAAAAAAATATGGTCTAGTTAAGAATATTTTTTACTTTTTTACTATTGCTACTTACACGTTGGGTCTAACCCGTATTTTAAATGGAGATAACCTTCCATTTATTCTTCAATTTCCCATTTCCAACCTTTTATTTGAGATGTAAGGTCTTAGGACTTCTGTGGCCGATGACCCAGGATAATATATGTACTAGGTGCAGAACAAAACGCAGCACAAAAAAAAATCTCAAAAGTTGGAAGCTCCTATTTTTACAGTCAAGTGAGCTGTCAACGTGCTTGCAGAGGTGGTCTACAACTTGGAAAAAATTAGTATTAACAAAGCTGAGCTGGCACACTGAACTTCCACTGACAGAATCGCTTCTGTACCTGTCCACTTTAGCAATGTGCTTCTTAAATTAATCCCCACTGCAGCTCCTCTGAGAGAGCTGGAACTCTTGTCTACACCAGAACAAAGAAAAGAAAGAGAAGTCTCTGTAGAGTATTTTGCAGTGAAGGAGATAAGAGCCTCCACCTCTCTTCTCTCCTAGGAGACAGAGGAACTGTTATAGGGCAGCCCCGATAAAAATGGGGTGCCTGACAGTGGGTCCTCACCCGTGCGCTTAAAAAGACTTATCAATGCTCTACTACAGGCACACGTGAAAGGTTAATAAAAGGTTTATTTACAAGGGAAGGGGAAATGAGGAAATGTACAGCTCAGGGAGGAAAGTGGGAGATAAAGTTTTAAGTGAGTCCTACCCGATCCGCCCGATCAGGAATCCCAAATGGCACTCTGAGAGCTGGCCACAAGCCAGGAGCCGTGAAGCCAGGAAGCAAGTGATAGCGAGCCACCCCAAGGCCCACGTGTTTGGTTTTTATATCCAACCTGGCTGCCCAACTCCACCCTCAGGTCCCAGCCACCCTCCCTTTGGTGGTGATGGGATTTATCTTTCCCAATGTCTTGATGGCTTTAGTCTAGAGTGGGGGTGGAGTCCACAAAGCCTATATGGGATTAGCTCAGGACATCCTTTCCCCCTAACAATTCCCCCCTTTCACAGACATCATTTCCCCCTAACAGTACTTTTCCACTTTTTAGTTTCTTTGTGAAATGGCCACGTTCCCACCTCAGACGAACTTAGTTTAATCTCCCCTTAAACTGAGATGGATGGGGATGCTCGAATTTATACGCATGCGACTTAGTTAGTGATCGTTTTGCTACTTGCAATGGCTTCATGTATAGTCTACTACACTGTTAGGTTAATTTTTTTTCTTTGTTTTTTTGTATTTTCTTTTAATTATTTTTTTTATTTTACATATTTTTTACATCATTTTTCATTTTTGCCCATTTTAAAAGCCCATGGTCACATATTGAATGACAAGAAGAGCATTCAGTGCACAATTCATTAAATTAGCAAGAAATGAGTTAGCAGGAAATAAGCAACAGGTTTTATTTAAACGTTGCTATTGTCATCCCTTTAGGCAATAGGATCAACCCAGGCATCAGGAGACTAGAATCAGTGCCTGATTCAATATTTAGTTCTTTGAAATTGAGTCAGACACTCCTATAACAGGCACTGCAAGCAAAGAGCAAACATAAGAGAATGACAATCAGATAGTGGGAAGCAGGAAACGATCCCTTGGTTTTTCTGAGTTTCACAAAGGAAGACCAATTCAATCCTTTCCAAGAACCCCCTGGGAATATGGAATGGAATGCTCATCCTCCTCCAAGGGCCCCTTCCATAAGTGCCTCAATCTGTATGACCTCATATTGCAGGGATGTGCAGAGACACAGACGAGAACATGCAGTGGGAGCTACACAAAATCATCTACACACTGCATAGGAAAAATGACTTTTTAAATAATTTTATAAACAACAAAAATTCAGATACTCTATGTTCTTGTCCACCCTGCAACTAAAACCATCATTTCTCCATTCAAATCATTTCCCCAATCAAATGTAGTTGTGTTATTTTTTTAAAATAGGAATTCACTTCTATCAACAATGGAGTCAAAGGATTTCTTTCCCCACATAAAAGCAGTGCTCTATGGCAGGAGCAAGCAGCCAAAGCCATGTGAGTAGGCCTCAAGAAAAGAGGACTATTTACGTGTACATGAGAAAACAAAGTGTTAATCTCACACATAGCCAGTTCAGTGGAGTTAAAGAAATATACCTGCAGGTTTTCAATTTCTTCTTTGTGCTCCCTCTTCAAGTGTAAGATAGCAGCTTGGTATTCTGTAAAAATCACACACAAAAAATCTGATTACAAAGAAGTACAAAAATTATGCACAAAATTCAAGTGAGCACCTCCCAGAATCCGGAGGCTCTCCTAGGAGTCAACTAGTAAATAAATGCCAGTTTGACATGAACCTGCCAAGAGAGGTTGAAAATGGGGCATGTTAGGATAAGCAGCTCAGGATAGAAGGGAGATTTCCTTCCATTTAGCAAACCCTAAATTATGGGAAGCCCCAAATGAAGCACATAGGATAGGGTTAAACAAACAAAAAAGCATGATGAGTGTTACTGATAAAGAGTGGGCCAGGCGCTTTGTCTTTAGGGAGGAGTTGGAAGCTAACGCCCCACAGAGAACAAATACAGATGTGTTAAGAGCAGTCACACAGGAAATCAAAGAAAACTTTCTATGTGAGATCACAGAACTCTATTTTTAACTCTGCTTCCAAAAAAAAAAAAAAAAATCTCCATTTGAATGCAGGCACCTAGGGCTGATTTTAATCTTGAGATCACTTCAGAAAGTGAAGACCATTTGTCATTTGTATGAGACAATCTAAGGTGAGTTAAGGTTGAAAAGGACAAAAATAAATTTCTGGTCCAATTTTAGTCTGAGTCTAATAATGTTTATTCCAACAGTAAGTCCCAAGCGTACACAGGAACTGCAGCCAACCACTGAAATGACCATCCTACTGCCTAAGTATGAAGCAGTCAGAGCTTTATTTTCTGCAGAACAGTTAAGCATGAGTGTGTGTGTGTGTGTGTGTGTGTGTGAGGGGGAGGAGGAGAGGGGTCACAGAACTCTACAGGCTGCAGCAATCCACAAAGCAAAATGCATTGAGAAATCATTTTTGTGTCATAAACTATTTTTTATTTTACAAATGTATTTGGGGTGGTAGGTATAAGTAAGAAAGCAGCCAGATATCATTCAAAAATCTGTGAAAGGGCATATTATTTCTGCAAGTGGATTTCAGAAATCAGGCATGGAAGTTTAGGTTTCAAATCAAAGTGGATGAGGGAACTCTTTGGTATAGCCTTAAAAGGAGAGGAGTGTTGCTATCAGTAATTATGACCAGCCACAGGGCTGCTCTGATGGGGAATGCGCTTGCCCTGCGCTGGGAATTCAGCAATGAGCTCTGTGGGAGGGACACCCAAACCATACCTGGAATCAAGCCACTTCCAGGCACCACCTTTTCCCTGAGCCTAGTGACCAACTCACTAGCACAGGGGCCATAGTACAGGTCATCACGGATAGGAGCTTCTCTCGATGTACTGGTACAGGTAACATTATTCAGGGCTACGTCTCAGGAACTGTTCTAAGAACCCCACACAGAATCCCTCATGCCATCCTGACACCACATATCCTATCAAAGGAGAAACTGAGGTGCACCGGTTGGTTGAACGACTATCCCCAACCCACGAGTTAGCAAGACCCAGTGATGTCAAGCAAGCCCAAAGAGCCCGTACTATCTGCAGAGTTTGTTTGCTTGTTTTCTGTTTGTATGTTACTGTTCTTATTGTTGACTAAGCATCCGGTATAACCAAATCTCAAATGCCTAGGAACTTAAAAGCTGCTGGCTTTATAAATTTTGTCAACTTACAAAAAATTTCTTTCTTTTAAAGCGAAATGGGGTGTTTTCAATCACAAGGAGGTCTGATGAACCTGTGGTCAACATGAACACCGTGGGTTATAATGCTTAGTACCATCAAGTTAATGATTATGACTCATCCAACCTCCCTATAGGGATTTCTGTTGTAGTCTGCAATTTGTGGTTAAACCTGGTTTTCATTTATACTCTCACACATGTAGCCCAGCCCCTTCCCACTGCATACTGGTGTGTGTGCATATATGCATGCACCCCCACACCACTGGAAGGAATGGATTATGCACACGGTTGGGGAATTAGAACTTTTCTGATTTCCCAGGTGAATGACAACCACGGCTCTATTCCCACCCAAGGATTCTCATTTGTACCACCTGTGACCGGCACGGACTTCGCTTTGCACTGTTACAAACATATTACAGAACGTACCTCTCAGTATGCATTGATAGACATTAGGAAGAAAATCAAAATAGCACAAAAAATTCAAGATTTCATGAGTATTACTATTATAAGACAGTGGTCTGAGTTTGCTCCCTGAACTGACATCATCTGAAACATCTTTGAAATGCTAATTTTTCAGACTTATGCTTCTACGTCCTTTATCTTGCCCTCCAATTGATTATGATGCATGCTAACATTTGAGAACCACTGTTTTGAGACAGTGTTTGTTTAAGCAAAGACAAAATAATTTTGTTTCAACAATAAATTTTAAAAAATACTAAAGGTAGTATTTATGCTCCAAATTGATATGCTTAGAATCAAGGAATTGGTCCCTAAGATAGGACATTTGGCAAAACATGCTAATTACTGACAGATGAATACAAACTCAAACTCATTCATAAAGGAATGCAGAAACTTTCCCCAACTACCTCTAACATTAATGAAAATGGAGCTGGTCATAGATGGCAGAATCACAATTTGCTTTAAGACCTAAGAATAAAATCAAACCTGAGCTCTTTAATTCATTAAGATATGAACACAAAGTGTGCAGCCAGGTCTTGGTACACAGCAGGTCCTCTATGTGGTTTCCTTGCCAGATGTCTGTAAACAATGCAGTTCACAGTAACTACTGTTTGGAAAAGGCAAAGTTGTCTTGCTGTGTGTCAGAAACTAAAGGAATATTCAAAGCCAGGGAAGTTGGGGCGAGGGGGAAGGGGGATGAATTGGGTCAAAATCACCAGCAAGAGGTAGGACCGCCCCAACAGTGTCAATACAACACATTCATCACATACATGATAGGAAAACTATAAGCAGGATTCTACCTCCAATATTTTATGTTTGTCTGCTGACTGCTTTAAGCCTCACCTCTCCTTCTTCCCTCATATCCCACATCTCCAGAATCTAATTAGAAAACCCTTGACATTAGCAGGAAATATGACCCTCACCAGCCACTGTGCATAATGGGGAATTCTAAATCCAGCCCTTCTCTCTAAACATTATAAATTTCCAAACCTTTCCCCTCTGAAGATATTCTCAGCCAGCTTGAGGGGTCCGCTTTGCTCTCCCCGAAAGTATCATTATGCTTGTAAATAAACCTTTTCATACACTCATGTGTGTGTGTGCATGTTTGTGTGAAAATGATTTTGCAGCTGAGTCAAAGTTTTGGTAGAGGGTCCATCTTGCCTCTTCAAAAGAGATGAAATCATGTAGAAGTTACACGAATAATCAATGACTCTACCTATTATGTGGTTCTATCTGTGCACAGGATAGAGATGATTAGTTTCCATAACAGGAAAATTCAACATTGGACAACTGTTGGGAGAAATCCATGAATTTAGGGATTAATAACTTTCAATACATCTCCTTGCTCAAGAATATTTATAATTTCCTCAGGAGGTATATGAAGATGCCAGTAATTAATAAGCAATGTGGAAAATCCCAGCTCTTCACCAGCTTCTCACCAGGCTAGGCAGGTCTTGGATTCCTGTGTTTAGGATCTCTATAACTTAGGCATTGAACTACGAGGTGGGTATAAGAAAGTGAACAGCACATATTTCTAACTTTAAAAATTTTCTCAGAGTGTGCATCTTGGAAAGATTTAAGAAGTTTTCAGCACTTATACTTCATCAGTAACATAGTAAGACTTCATTTTCTTTTTTTTTCCCCTCCCCCCCCGACTTCATTTTCTTCAATGAATTTGGTTTAGTTAAATTATTTTATATGTAGGTGTGGAAGTTGGAGCACTGTTCAGTTAATAGTCATTCATTTCTACCTCCCCTTCTAGCTTGGGGTGTAAGATCCTGGCTAGTGGAATGTGAATGGAAAAAATGCAAAAAGATTTTAATTTGCTTGCACAATTTGGTTTCCCTCCTGCTATTTCACAATAGAAGAACACAGTCTTCTAGATAGCCACTACTCACTCAACTTGTGTCATGATAAAAGTCTCCTGGTACAGACCTAAACCCTAGCTACCACTGGCAGCCAAGCCCAAGTCTATGCACAGCCAGAAAGAGACAGTCTAGAACTGTAGAACCACAGCTGACCTTTACCCCTATGCCAACAAATAATGAAGTCGGACCAACCAATATAGACGGAGCAGGGCTTAGAGCAAGAAGATAAAGTGGGGTATTAAGGGGGAGGGGATCACATATTTATAACCTTAATACTCAAAAAGTGATCTCTGCAATGGAATCTTTATGTCCTGTGGTGATGGTGTAAAATAAATACAAAGGTCAACAAATTAATGACTATATCTCTTTGACTTTTACCTGGACTCCCAAAGTAAGTACACAGGACAAAGCACCATTTCACAGATGGTTTACCATGGAGAAAACAGTCAATCATTCAATGAAATAATTCTAGCTCCTACTGCTTAGATAACTTGCCTTTTCAATTTGTCATCTTCTTTTACCCTTATTTTCAGTTCTGTTAAAGTGGAGATGCTAAGAAGTCCAGAACTCCAGGAACACTGGCTTCCTAAAACTCATACTCCCTCTTCTATGCAAGATTAAAAACCAAGAAACAATTCCAGAGGCCCATAACTGATCACAATAAAATTTAGGTTTCAACTGAAAGTACTCAATGTCTGCCACTAGGTGGCAGTCACAACACCTAGACTTGAAACTTGCCATGCAGTGGCAGAGTGATGGATTTGGTAGGTTCGGGTAGGTGGGGACGCTTTAGGGCAGACCAAAGCTGTGAAATAAACATTTTCGTTTGAGCAATGGACTAGTATGGATATGGCAGGAGTATTTCCAACCACATTTTCAAAAAGCTAAAAGTGACCAGATAAGGCTTCCAGTTACAGGTTTACATTTTTCAGTCACCGCGTAAGCCTGCATAAAAATTAGATGTAAAGTATACAGCAAGAAAGTTGAAAGTCATAGGTGAGAACCAAAATAGAGTAACATCCTGGAGAAAAAGAAATAAAACAAAAGCCAAGTGGTGCTTTGTGCCTGAAGC